AAGTATGCTGGGCAGGGATTCACTCACCGAAAACTTCTGGCGGCGGGATCGTCTATCGGTAGACAACCCGATGGTCCATCAGATGGGCAACCCGTTAGGCGACGGCGTAGGCAACCGAACATGCGACCCGATATGCAAAATGCAGGAATACCACAAGTGATCGTTAAGGTACACTTTAATGTCATAGATTGTGCTTTAGGTTAGGTTGAGCATGACTGAACTCACGTTAAATTGTGTTTTAGGTTGAACCTGACATTCACGAGACTCCAACTGGCCGGGGGCTACGGAAGCGTTATTACACGTGGAAGCTTAAAGAAATGTACATACCAACTGGAAAGCGTGGGATGAAAGTGACGAGCCCAGCATGTGCCATTCCTCCACAGTTGGATGAACAGTTCCATAAATGGTTGGATGACCCATTTACGGACAGGAATTCGCAGTCTACTGCAGCTAGAATACAGACAAAGGAATGGTATCGCAATCTACTAGACCAAACTATCGAACTGAAGGATGAAGTAAGGACTTCTTACTCCCTGATTATTATGCATGTTGTGAATACGTTAGTAACATCATTGTTAATATATTAAATCAAACAAGTGATCAATGCGTTGGTGTTGCTTACAGCGAAGAAGTTGGAGAAGCGTCTCCATCTATGTCGCAGGAGATTTGCCATAGGTGACGTACTTCTCTCTGTAAGTAATTTTTACCTTAATATGCCCACATATAAAGTGTCTATTCCAATTATTTATGAAAGTCTTATGTAATCGTATTTATGTACAGACTTTGCTAAACCGTAGAGATAGTTCGTACGCTGCTATGAATTGGGAATCCTAGCCTTGAGGATCAAGTATGAATGGGCTAAGAAGAAAAGCATCTTCTGATACGTGTTCGGTAGACAATCGGACCACAACACAACATGGAGTGATGCAGACATGGTATATACCTCGATTAATATTGGTGGGAACCATTAGGTGATGCTCAGCATCAATCTTGTGAAGGGCGACATAACTGTATGGGATTCACTACAGTCTATCACACCCCACTGGAGGCACTCGAGAAGGAGCTCAAGCCGATGTGTACGATGCTCCCACCGGTACTTCACTACGACGGCATGTTCGCAGTAGACCGGACTTGCCAATTGTGCCATGGAAGATGCGCCAGGTTTGCGCATCCCTACAAAGTAGCACGACAGATTATGGGATATTCTGTGTGAGGTTCTTCGCGTACGATTTAATCGGGTCGAATATGGACTCTCTGACCCAAGAAAATGTTGTACTATTTAGGCGTCAGTACGCTGTACAAATGTGGGTGCGTCGACCCATTTTTTTCTAATAATATATATGATTCAGTACGTGGTTGTACTATCCACTGTCAATCTTCTCGTGCGACCACTGACATAATCTTTTTCACTATCGTTCCATTCTCCACCGAATTTTAGGCATCCTGCAAATAGATAAAACCAGGTGAGATAAGAAAATTTATCAAAAATAAAAGTCATAAAAAATGAAAATAAACAAAATAAACTGTCACTCTGGACCGTCTCGGACCAATCTTGGTCCAAGACAAATCCCGGACAGCCTTGGTTCGGGATTAGTTCGGGATGTGTCCCGATTCATGTCCTGAATCAAAACATTAAATCTCGATTCTCGAAGTCTTCAATCCTGGAACTACACTTGGTCCGAGATAACGATCTGAAATTTGTGAAAATGTAGGAACAATAATTTTGGTCTGTGAGGATTTTGGATTGTTTCAAATTCAAAACATATGTAAAATATTAGTTTAAAGTTTGGTGAAATGGTTGAGTGGAAAGTTAATGTATCATAAATGCTAGGTAAATTCGTCAATCCCAATTTTCCGTACTTTTACATTAAAATATCATATTTCATTCTATTGACTATCACATCAATAGTATATCAGACAATTATATCAGTAATAAATCAAACAGTCATTTCAATAATATATCAAATACTCATATAAGTAGTATATCAAACACTCATATAAATAATATATCGCATTTATATCAGATATACATATCGATTTTGGTAGGACAATATTGTCGTTTTATATGTGAGCCCCGATTTTTTCTTTTTTGGAAAAAATGCTATATTTGAAAACCAAAACATAGTTTCTATTTTACTAATTTTTTTTAACATACCTCAAGTTGGCCTAATATTTATTATATTCTATTACACTAATTTAAGTTTGATTTTTAAAAAAATTAAAAAAAATTAAAGAAAAAATAAGTGTATTATTTAAAATAATAAAAATAAAAATAAAAAGGAGAATCTCCCATTTTATCGGGGGCGAATTCCACAGGGAACCGATCCCCACGTTGGGGGAATCCCGCCCCCATCCCCGCAATTTTGGGATCCCCCCACCCAGCCATCCAGGCACAACCTAAATTAAAACAAGAAAATCAATTTGATTCAAATAAATTTTCTCCATTTCGACCGGTTCAATCTGTCTTTGGTTAGTTTTTATAGATTCTTCAAATTATATCGAGCAATGTGTTAAGAATTTCAACATCAAATTTCTATTTATCTTGAACCAATAGATTGGTTCAGAGTTGGTTTCGCTCAAAAACTAAGTGAAAACCAACCCGCTTACACCCGAGCGGGATGTCGAGAACAGCTGCATATTGAAGAATTCACATTAATGTCCAGAAGCTTTTATACACACACAAGGACCAACAAAAGTAGATGAATCCTCTCAGTAATAGTAATATTATACAAACAGCAAAAGAACAAAGGAGAAAGTTTCATGGAAAGCAAACTTGAACTGTCCATTTTCAACTCTCAGCAACCAAGGATTCCTCGGAAATTGCTGATTCCCCATCACCAAAAACAATTTTGAGCTTGAAGTTAATGCAAGTCAACTGCCGGTTCTTGTTATCTTTCAATAGTATTTTAACCGAATACGAACCCTGTTATATATATTCCAAAATTCAGACAACATTCACGAAGCATTAGAATAAAAGAACAATACTTAGACGCGGACCACTCACTAGGTATCCTCCACAGACCATCATTAAAAAATTGACCGTAGGAAAGATTAATGCGTAAAGGAAAAGAGAAAAGATACTTTTTCTTTTTTCCAAAAAAATAATAGCCTGCCTCCTAACAGATCAGGACCTAAATATTACTCAAGTAATAAGTCAACATGACAATTTACTAATGAGAAGAAACATTAATCTATCAAACAAGACTTACTGGTGGTGTAAAGGGAGGTAAGCTTTGGGAGTGAGCTAAAGAGAATTTCCCAGGTACAACAGGACATGAAGTCACTTCACAGAGATCATGAGCTTCTGAGTGTATATGCATACCAAATAAAGAAACCTCAACCCCGAACTTCCCACCAGAGAGAACCTTATCTGTATGAAAAACATTATAATTGTTAAATGAAACTCAAACCACGTAGCATTCTCGTCCTCTCCTATCTGATTAGGCAGCCTAGTTTATGTTTATAACTTCCCATTAGGCTACCGTCTTATTCGAACGATGAAGAGCATTCGACCAGGTGACTATAGGAAAAATAACTAAATATACTATGTAAGACCAGTTAGTTTCATAAGAGGGATTGCACCTAGCCATTCGAATAAAAATGTAATATCTCTTGCTTTTACTGGATCTTCCTTAAAGTATTCTGAATAAACTACAGTGTAATGAAAAAATTTTACCAAAACAACAAACAACTGGTGCAATATGTATATCACACGCAAGCTTCGATAAACATGTTCAATTATCAGGATACTGCATGAACTCGGTAGAGTTTCTAAATGAGGATAAAAATTGATCAAAAGACGGTAACACCAATGAACATATATGTCAGAAAGTACATATTGGATTAACATTTCTCAGTAAGTTCCACATTACCACATAACTGGGGCAATGAGAAAGTAATGGTGTGTGTTAATGGAGAGAATATCACTCGTACATCAATAGAAATTTTCAGTATCTTTGCAATACTGCAATAATATTAATGAATAAAAACATAATCAGGAGTCTTGGTGAGATTCACATAACAATAACAGAAGGTAAGAAAAATATGTTCAGCTTCCTAGTTATTCAGGGCTTGTCACACAAGGTCGTTCAAAGACAATGTTTAATTCTTCAGCAAAATTGATGAGAAACAAAAAACATCTATTAAAGAAGAGTATATTTGTCGGTCCAATAAATCCAACTTTAAAACAGCAACCTGCGAGAAACCCCTTGATAACAGTTCTCATAAAATAGATTGTAAAGTTTCCCTTTCATCATTCAGATTTTCATCAAAGTCTCGTTATCAAACGCAATCAATCAAAGTCTCATTATCAAACACAATGTACAGAATCAAGCATTTCAAAAATCGTAATAAAAGAATAAAAGAAAAGGGACTTCTTACATAGTTTGTCTCACATGCGAACGAACAACCAGAAAGGACCAGGAAGAATGGAAGTACAACCAAAAGGATAATATATAAAAACATTGGCTACAGCCGAGAATTGATGTGAGCAAAAATGTTCACAAGAAAGTTCTCCAACAACTAGTGATGGAAAAACAAAGTTTAAACCAATGTTTTTAAAGCTTGAGGCACATTAAAGCGCAATAGACTCTAACTTCTAACTTCACCTCCACTACATTCATTCAACCTTGATATTTGATAGAACCCTAACATGAGATTTAAGATCGTGAAAATAAGGGCTCATAATGTCGAATCAAAATACAAAAATTAATTAAGTCTGGATGCTAGAAATCCACAGTTTACATTCAGTAACTTGCAAGACAATAAGGGATCCTGTGATAATCAACGTACAACGGGGTAGTGCTGACCAATAAAACTATGACATCCAAGTCACTGCTAAGAATGAGATTCAGTTGTATGACAATAGGAAGAATATATTAGTCTGTTAGAATATACCTACTCCCGACGAGGTAGTGTTTAATTCTTATAGTTGAAGAAGGTCAATAGCCATCAAAGGAAGGTGGTGGCAAGATTTGCACAGTTAGGGCGTAATTCATTCCTAAATACACAACAAATGTGGATACAGAAGTTGGACCAGATCCATGACAAAGTGCTTCCATAAGCACGTCATAAGACATATCTGATTTGTTTTTGTTGAATGTGTAGAGAGCATTTAACATTGGCTCCCAATACAAGTCGAGGGTTGGATCATTGCAAGCTTAAGTTGTCTTTTTGCTCACTAGAATTATACTTGACTTCCTCAAATTGTTATAAAAAATCTGACAAGAATTCTGCTTCAATACTATATGTTATTTAGTTTTCCATTTCCTCACACATGAAACAAAAATTAAATAAATCGATATGAAAAGAATGTTAAGATCCAAATCAAAAACTAAATTTTATCCCATAATTAAAGGGCAATGGTTAAAGTAATCCTCTTCAATAGTGTTAGGCCATAGTTACAGTATCGAATTAAGGCACACAAAAATTAGCTATACATAAGTTTCTGGGTATCCTTTAGTCTTTACTTACCAAATATAAATCAAATGCTAAAGGCAAGGTGAGATTAAGCATACTATTATGAAGAAAAGTAATTAAAACAACTGGAATATACAAAGAACCAAAGCTTACCAGTTGAGGCTGAAACGGTAAACGTGGCAGGCTTGCCACTCTTCACTGGATCAGGAGATACTTCAAGTGCAGCGACCTTCACAGCATAATTACCTCTCTTATCTAATTTAAATCCACAATCAGATAATCAATTGATCAAATAAAAAACTACACAAGGTCAAAATACAACAACAGTCATGAATCGCTTCTCTTCCCCATAACTTATTTTGCCATGGAGAATATCTTTCTTACTTTCTAGGAATCGCAGTAATCGGAAACCAAAAAAGGGCTAATTCGCGGTTAGGTTTTTTCCGATTAGAAAGAAAAGCTAAATGAAGTGGAAATTGAAACTGAGAGACTAACCGCAATAGTTGAATTTCGCGGCGAAGATGGCCGGAAAGAGCAGATGAACGGCAAAGAAAAGAACAAGGATGCGATCGAACGAGAGCCCTCCGGCCATGGTCACGTCGAACGATCTGAAGAATAAGGAGTGAGAAGACGAAATGGGAAACCCCGCTGGAGAACGATACAAAAATGCATTATGCCGACCAAACGAATCAATTAAAATAATGATGTTTGAAGAAAACAGTAAGATTTTTTAACAA